TGATAGATAGAAAATATCTTATTCTGGTTTAAATTCCCTGGCGATTAATTATAAAACAAATAACTTTATTACAAAACAAATAAAACTATATACAAAACACTTAAAACTATGAACAAAACACTTATAACTATGAACAAGACACTTAAAAGTATGTACTGTGGTAAAACAGTATAAATATACACTTTTAAGAAAAACTAAATTAAATTCTTCTTATAAATAAGCTCTGAGTTTCTATTAGGAAAAACTAAAGCTGAATCCGTCAATATAAAATGCCTAAGTATGCAAATGCTGAATAACATGTAAATACATCATAAGAAGAGTATGATCATTTCTTAATGTAAATATAAGCAAGAATTTAATTTTATATAAAATAAATTAATAGTAATCAAAGACAGTAGATGCAATGAGTGGCATCAATAGTAGGAAATTCTTATGATATCCTTAGCAAAGACCAGCATTATCATCTGATAATAAATTACATGAAACAGATGTATAACATCAGAAGATCTACAGAATGAGTAGATATCTGACTGTTTTCAGGACAGATATTAGAATAGAAAGGTTTTGAATGTGGATACGGAGTTGGCCGAATTTCGATAGGGGGGAATTCCAGAAATTGACAAAGCGAGCAACAAAGGAGTTTTGGAATGATTCAGATCTGTACAGACATTCCGGTAACCGAACCGTACATTTATAAGTGGGTGGATGCTGCTTCTCACTTAATGAAATGTATAACAAAGACAACAAACAAAATTCAAGAAATATATATGACAAACAAACTGATGCGAATTTCTTCAGAAGAGCAAGATTGGGCTGGAACTATCACCTGCTACATGTGATAAAACGTATTTACAGAAAACAATATAAAAGTTAAAGACCATTGCCACCTAACAGGAACTTCCTTGTAACAATTGTAATTTAAAACGTGTAAATCCCTCGTTTGTACCTGTTTTAATGCATAACTTGAGCAATTATGATGCACATTTCATAGTTAAGGAATTAAGAAATATTTCTGGAGGTGTTGAGGTAATACCCAATAACAAAGAAAAATATGTATCCTTAACATAAAGGTTGGTAAAATAAAATTGGGATTCAAAGATGCTTATAGATTCATGCCACAAAGCCTGGATTGCCTTGTAAAATCTCTATCTATGGATAAATTCAAGGAACCTTCAAAATATTACTGAAGGGACGAATTAGCATTGGTTACGAGAAAAGGTGTGTTACCGTAGGATTACTGGGTACTAACAGTTGTAATGTACTTCACTTACTCCGCTCAAAATCGGTTATTTACCGATGGCTGGAAATTGGCAATCAAGGTGTCTGTAATTTTACATATTTCAACAGTATGGATGTATAGTCAGCTATCTACAGTATAGTATTTTTTCACCTCTCAGTAGTGAAGAATTTTGAGAAATGAGGTGTCAAACAAACTGATGAAATAACGGATCCTAATTCAAGAGATATCAATTGACCTAAATAACAACTGCTAGTACTCAGATGCAGAATTTGATGCTTTACAACTTTTATTTAATAAACTTTTCTCCTAGGAAACTCATTTCCAAGCTGCAGGTCCATTTATAGTAATTTGTCTCTGTTTTTGATAAATTTGGTAAAAATCAGAGTTCGTTGACCATTGTTGTCAATCTTATCACTTTACAAAATTATTGGGTTGGCAAATAAGTCCTTTCGGTTTTTCTGTTTATTTTTATGTCACTATGATACACTTCTTATTTAATGAATTAATCCTAGAGGTGGATTGTTTATCCTGTTTGTAATATGTCAACAACTATATCTGTTAATCCAAGTTGAAATTAGCTAAGTATTGTGTTTGCTCTTGCACTGTGAATATGGAAGAAATTATCATTCATTATCGGCATATTTTGTTGTATTATTCTAAAAAAGGTAAGCATGCTGCAGAAGCTCATAGAAAAATTTTCAGGGTTTGGGGAGGCTTCAGCCCGAAAGATTTTCAAATCAGTGACAATATTCTTCAATTACTAAGACTGGATCCTGTTTTACCTTACATTTGTCTTATTGTACTCAATGACCCTGGCAGATCTACATTTGCAATGCTCCTTTTGATTTGAAAGATGTTTTGTATCTTCTCAGGTATAAAAATATATTAATTACAAAGTATAATTAGACATGAACAATATAATATAGATGTAAATGTAAGAAGAACCAAACAATAAATGTCCCAGGGCTAACAGTAACAAAGTAATACTATTGCTATCTAAAAAAGTATGCTAACAGTTTTTACCCAAATAGGTAGTACAGCAGGGGAATAAGGTAAAATTTAAAAAAAGATACTTTATATAAAATATTAAAGGATACAATTAAGATATCCACACTCATAGTGTGATACCATTCGATCATACCATTTGAAAAATCATAGCGAAAACCTTTGAAATAATTATTTTCTAATGTCACTCCTACCAGAGTCAGAAACAACTTAATAGAACTTGATAAATTTGGTAAAAATCAGAGTTCGTTGACCATTGTTGTCAATCTTATCACTTTACAAAATTATTGGGTTGGCAAATAAGTCCTTTCGGTTTTTCTGTTTATTTTTATGTCACTATGATACACTTCTTATCTGATTAATTAATCTTAGAGGTGGATTATTTATCCTGTTTGTAATATGTCAACAACTATATCTGTTAATCCAAGTTGAAACTAGCTAACTAAGTTGAAACTAAGTATTGTGTTTGCTCTTGCACTGTGAATATGGAAGAAATTATCATTCATTATCGGCATATTTTGTTGTATTATTCTAAAAAAGGTAAGCATGCTGCAGAAGCTCATAGAAAAATTTTCAGGGTTTGGGGAGGCTTCAGCCCGAAAGATTTTCAAATCAGTGACAATATTCTTCAATTACTAAGACTGGATCCTGTTTTACCTTACATTTGTCTTATTGTACTCAATGACCCAGGCAGATCTACTTTTGCAATGCTCCTTTTGATTTGAAAGATGTTTTGTATCTTCTCAGGTATAAAAATATATTAATTACAAAGTATAATTCCCAGGATGATTTATTTAATTTTAAAAGTTTTAAATTTTGGAAATATATATTAACTTTTTTTTTAATGTAATATATACTTTATTTCAACTTATATAATTACTATGATTATAAAAAAATAAATTTCATAATTACCTTATAATTATTTTCTTGATGCCAAAGGGAAAAGGATGTATAAAGCTACTTCTATCTTTTCACACTCAGGAGCATAGTTTTGTTGTAGGATTCCATTTCGAATCAGTGACAATGTTCATCAATTACTAAGATCGGATCCTGTCTTAACTTATATTTGTCTTATTGTACTCGATGATCCAGACAAATCGAGTTTTGCAATGCTCCTCTTGATTTGAAAGATGTTTTGAACCTTCTCAGGTATAAAAATATATTATGTATCAAGTATAATTAGACATGAAAAATATAATATAAATATAAATGTAAGGGAGACCAAATAATATAAAAACCCCAGGGCTAGCAGCAAAAAAGCAATGCTACTGCTATCTCAAAAAGAGTACCAACAGTTTTTACCCAAATAGGTAGGAAAGTAGAAAATAAGGTAAAATTTGAGCACAGGCATTAAGTAAATTAGTTAAATTTTAACATTGACCAATTACGTTTAGATTTGGCTAATAATAAGAAATATTCAAAGGAAAAATTTGATTATCAACGCAAGGAAATGTTCTAATTGTAAGTAACTAATTTTATGACTTATCCATGAAAGAAATCAGTTGAAAAATTACTTTTTATGAATATTCAATTTTATAATAAACAATGGAATTTTTGTGCATATACTTTTAAAAAAATTTGCCATGAGAAAAATTATCCACCATCATATAATCACACTCATAGTGATTCCATATGAAAACTTCAAATAATTATTTTCTAATGAAACTCCTACCAGAGTAAGATAAAACTTATTAGAGCTTAAAGTTTTTAATTTTAAATAAACTGGTAATAAAAAAAACAGGTGCACCTTGAATTTTACCTGAAAACTGCAGATTAAAGAAATATTTTTAATCCTGAAGTAATGAAACTCCTACCAGAGTAAGATACAACTTAATAGAGCTTCAAGTTTTTAATCTTAAGTCAATTTTTTCGCATGAGCTCTCGGAAAAATATGAACAACACCAATTATTGGTGTATCGTTGTTTATTGAAAAACAATTCTTAGAATTTAATTATCTTCTTTAATAAAGAAACTTATACTATTTTTCTTTTTAGAAAACATTTTTACTTGTTCTTGGAGGTTTAATTAGGGATTGATGGTTTTTCTTGATAGTCATTCATGTGTATTTAGTAAAAAAATCTCATTTTCCCAAAAACTAAACTTCCGGAAGAATATCAACTGAATGGCTCAAATAATAAAATCCCTAAACCCTAACATAATAGTCAAATTTATAACATTAGGTAAATTATAAAATATGCATATAAGGGATATATAATATAATAGTCTTCTTTTCTTGTATAAATATATTTTCAAACATTTGGATATAAACACGTATATAAAATAGATATTAAATAACAAAAATTATATAAAATACAAAACTTGGCATTCAGTCTCATTTTAAATTCTAATTAATCTATCACTATAATAATCACTATAACATAATTCAATAATTTTAATTTTGTAAGTAAACCTGAATTAACATTCAATTTTACTATGTAAAAATTGACACCTAATAATCATGTGTTTTTAATAGTTCAGAAAAAACATGATAATTAATTGAACTAATGGTATTGGCCTTAAAAACAAAAAATTTAACCAATAGAAAATTAGGACATACCCATTATTAACAAAACCAAACAAGAAAACTTAATAATAAAAAATTACTGCCAATTAAACCTATGTGTGCATTTAAAACATGCTCATCTGCTCTTCATTTTTATAAAATTAAGAAATGGATTAATTTAATAAACAAACATTGGAATGATACTTGTCAATTCTTTAGGTTTTAAATATGAATTAAAACAAGGTATAACTTATTTTACTTAATCACTTGAATATGTTTCCAATAATGCATACTTCAAGTATTATGACAAAACTGTTTTTTGAACAATGTAAAATAGTATGACATTACAAAAAATTATAATTATAATAATGACCTTTACCCTTTTCTTTTTAAACAACCAGTAAAATTACCAATCTTATACCTATAATATAGGTTGGAAGAATTCAAAAGCTTTTTTCTTTTTCTTTTTTTTTTTTACAATACCTAATAGGTGTTCTTTACTGGTAACAAATTCAAATTAGACTCGAATAATTTTATATTTTACATTTGGTACACCTTGGTACACAATATTTATATGAAAATACATTATATAGGTGTATACAAATATAACATTATGCAATATGTTATCAATATGCAGGTATATATATTTATAAATAAATGTTAAGATTCTGGATTATAGCTCATGCAAAAAAATTGTATGAACGAATAACTTTTAGGTGTTTATGAAGGATATAATTATACATTGAAAATTAAATGGAAAATAAATGTTAACAACAAAAATTATTTTAATATAAGTTTACTACATACTATGTTCAATATTCCTAAATTTTTTAAAACGGTAGCTATTTTGCAGGTTACCATACTGCATAAAACACATCAGTATAGATTATACATTTTACTGCTTTCTGCCATATGTTTTATGTAATAATGTAAGAAATAATTCATGAGGCAGGCCTTGACTTAATTGTTGTATTTGTCTTGTGATCAAATTATATGTTTCTTCTTCATAAGCATGAAAAACTGCAGGAACACCAATTTCTATAAAAGTATCCTTCACTTTTTTAATTTTTTCTGGGTCTTTACTTCCATAGCAGGACTAAAAAAATAAATAAAATAAAAATTGTAATTAAGTTTAAAATACAAAAGTAAACATTGACAGTTAAGCTTATTATAAGAGACATTATCTAGCTTATTATTACTATATTACCTATTATTAGAGACAAACAACTTTTTTTTTCTGCAAACTTTTTTTAACTTAGAATTAATTCAAAATAAAACATAGAACATTACTTCAATCAATTTTTAACAGCACTTACACTTTTTTTAAAACATTGAATTAATGGCTCTAAGATCATTTTAAATTACTATTATAGGAACAATAAAAGACCTGAGGGATTTTACTATCATTAAATAATTTCATCTCTACATGTCCAGTAATATTTTAAGAACAAAGAATGACACTAATTATCACACAGATTATAAGCTAAAAAGACTGGATTCAGGCAGAATATCAACTATTGAGCAAACATTGGAAAATAAGCTAGAATACAAAATAGTAGTTCACCAGGTTGACACTGATTTAAGAGGTGTACGATTAAATTGACTGCTAGAAATGTTAAGATATTTTGATAGAATAGAAGATACCAAAGTAAATCCAGTAAGGATAAACACACTCCAAACTTCTGAGTATGAACTAATAAATTTTATTTAAAAAATTGTATGGGCTTATGGCTGAGGGATTATTTTCCCACTATTTTATTTAATTCAGTATTTTGATAGAATAGGAGATACCAAAGTAAATCCAGTAAGGATATACACACTCCAAACTTCTGAGTACGAACTAATAAATTTTATTAAGAAAATTAGAAATCTGTATGGGCTTATGGCTGAGGGATTATTTTTCCACTATTTTATTTAATTTAGTACAGGAACGCATTAGAAAAAGAAATCAACAAATGGTCAGTCTGAAAGCAGAAAATTCCTTCACTTGCCTACAATCATTTCATATTTTCAATTTAAGAGAGTTTTAATACAAATACATTGATGGAAGATATTTTTAAAACCTTTGATACAAAGAAAGATGAGTTAACTTAAAATAATTAGATGGTTCGAAATTGAAATCGCCAGAGAACTTCTCTCTTTATATTAATGGAAAGTATTAAAATTTTCAATTAAAAAATAGACAACACCGAATTGTGAGAACTGTATCCAGTTAATATAATTGAAGTGATTACATTGTCTCAAATTAAATGGGCTTGTAAAATTCTTGGGCTTGGTAACGAAAGAATTCCTAAAAGGTTAATAATTGCTATACCGAATAGTAAACGTTTAAGGGGAAGACCGAGGCGAAGGTGGGAAGATTGCGTTAAACCCGATCTCAAAGGATTTGGTTTGGATGGCGAACGGTGGAGGGAGTTGGTCGCAATTGGTGGTGTCGGCATCGGACCTTCGGGTTCGTTAAGACTTTTATTATTATTATTTATTAAAAAATAGAAATATTGTATTTGTCTGATTTTTACAGAAATTACAGAAAATGGTTCTGTTTTTTACTTTAAACTAATAACTTCAAAAACTACTTCACAGATTTATATGCTGTTTTAGCAAAATGGCCCATGTTGTTCCATTAAGGTATGAAGTTAAAGAAATCATTTATCAGATCAGAAAAAAATAAATTTAAACATATTTTTTATTGATTACATGCATGCTAAATCTTAATTTTACATCATTCTGGTTATATTATTGTTGTAATTTTATATTGTTCAAAATAACAAGATTATGGCAATCCCACAAACCCAGGACAGAAAAAAGAGAAGAAAAAAACAAACAATATGAATTAAAAAAAGAAAAAGCACAAAAAAAATAAAAAGATTACTGAGTTCTAAATGTAAGGATACACGGTTTTAATGGAGGAAATGAGGAATAGCAGAACTCACACTGAGATTGAAACAGTGACAACGAACAAGTTAATCTATGATGAACTACACTTAGGTTGCCCTAATCATTGGCCAGAAGACTACGTTGGGGTTAAGCAATACATGAAAAGTTGTAAATTCATTATTCCACAGAGTGGCATCAAAGAACCATCATCTTCTCCGAGTTCTACTCAAATCATCAGCTAAGGATTGTATTGAAGTATAAGATGAGTGTCCCAACTGTGTGCAGCATTCAACCAAAACGTAAAGTACGCTTATAGAAAGATTTATACCTGGGGTTGAAACTTTTTTAAGAAGTCCCATTTTAAGAATTCCTATGAAAAGTTTTAGGAAAAAATTTCTTAAAATAAAAGTTGTAAGGAATTTTTTTTTTTTATTAAAGCTCCAGATTTATGGTAAAAGTTTAACTTTTATTCATTCAAGTTCTTAAAAAAAGTTCCATTAAATGAGAAATAAACAGTAATAGGGCTTAGATTACAGATATGATTTTTCTTAAATGAATTAAACATGATTTTTATATGAAGTTTGTTTGAGTAGCTAAGAATAAAAATCATTTTTCAGATTGACTATTTAGAAATATTAAAGAACTTTTAAATAAATGTTTTGTGAAATCTTTACTGCAAAAGTCGCAAGAGAAAAAGTTCTAGTTACAAAAGAACTGAAAATTCCAACAATAAAAATTCCAGTTGTACTGAAACTTTAAAAAAATAAAAGTTTTTTTTTTCAAAATACCAACTACCAATTCTTTACGTACCTACAATATTGGCCTATATTAACCTCTTATGACTTAAATTTCTGAATGTTGTAAACATAATACGGTTAAACATTCATTATTTATAGGCTAAAAGTGTCAATACGGTTTGTTAATACCTACTTGTGTACTTATTGTATACATATAGTTATTAAAAGTGTACTGTGGTTGGTTTATAGTTATTGGGTACTTTTTAATAAATAATTTTTGATAACAAATACGCTTCATTTTGTTAACTTCATCTCATTTCATAGATCGGAAAAATATAAAAAAACATTTCATAAATTTATGTATACACTATGTAATATTGAATAAAAAATTAAAGAAAATAGAAGTTTATGGGAGAATAAAAAAAATTATCATGTACAGTAACCAGGAAATTCCGTTAAATCTGGACTTTTAGTGAACTGGAGAAGAAACAATTCCATCAAGTCTGGACTAGTGAGACTACTGTCTATGCACACATAACATACATATATAATATACTTAACATACTTATTCTTATTTCAATTCTTCATTAATAACAGAAATGAAATATAACTAATTGACAGAATTACCTCTAAAATTTCTCTCTGAGATGGTGAAGCTCTTTGAAATGCAACAATAGCTAGCCATGTGCACTTCCCTTCCTGAATATCAGTACCTATCTTTCCGATAACTTCTTCATCACCAAACACATCAAGATAGTCATCCTGTAATGAAAATTTGAAAAATAAACCAAACAAATTTGAGAATGTAGAATGGAGAGTAAAATACCAATAGGATATTACTGCCAGATAATCAGAAAGCTAATTGGAACAGAATAAATACATTTTGAATTTAAAAAGAAAGCCTGAATATGATCTGACAAGGGAGAATTATAGACGTGGGTTCACCGATTTCAGTGAAAATTTTAAACAATATATAATTTTAAATAAAATTGATCTTATTAATTTTTGGTTTTGCTTTACACGGATTTTTAGGTCATTATATATCAATCACTTTCTTTATTATTTTTTTTTGCAAAATTATAAAAAAATATTTACTATGGTATTAAATGATTTATAAAGTAACTTAATAAACAAAATTCAAAAGGCGCTTCCAGTAAAGTAGGCCAAGTAAATTTTAGTAATGAAAAAAAAAGTTAGATTTGTTTATAGTGTTCTTTAAAACCCTTAAATATAAACTTTTATAGAAAACAAAAATTTCAAATTTTAAAAGATTATTTTCTTGAAGAATTGTTTTTCCGGCTGTTAACAAAAGCATTCATAACTTTTAAAGAATTTATCCAAATTCAACGTTAGTACAACAATTGGAAAGCTGAATTAATGCTTTTCCAAACCACATAATTAAGTTTTATATTTCATTCCGTTTTAAGCTAAACATTTAAAAACTTCTTAAACATTTTTATTTTATATCTTTAATTCCAATTTGTTTAGAGAGGTGAAATTTGTACCATTCCATGTAGAATATATCCCTGTGTGAATTGATTTCAATGAAACTTTGGTGATACTAGATCGAACAATATGAGACTCATGTCAGAGGGTTCTTGCAAATGCGGGAGCTGAGAAAACAAATATTTTATGTAATTTTAAACAAAATATATCTTATTAATTGTGTTTAAAATTATATAAAATATTTGTTTTCTTAGAATGTTTGAATCAGGGAGAATGTTTGAAACAAACTGAGGCAATAAACCTATAAGTAAGCAACATAATGGATAATCTTTTGGGAGAAACTTAGACTGGGAGAGAATGCTCAAACCTTGTAGAATATAATGTCTTGAATGTTTTTTAAACATTCTGACTTTCTACAAATTCTTTAATGGCATGCACCAATTCTAAGTAAATTATAATTTCAGTAACAAAAGGTTACATGGACACTAAAATAAAGGTTCTCTATTAAGTTATTTACATATAAATTATCAAATACTTTTGCATACCTGAACTTGAAAGTAATGTCCCATTTCAAGTAAAACACTTTTAGCTTGACGATGCAATTCAGTATTGTAAATACCAGCCTAAAAGAGAAAAAAAAAATATTGTAAAACAATATCTTTTAAAATATAGACACTAAAAAAATAATAATAAGTTACAAAATCAATTATTTAGGTAATGAATATAACATATTTACAATACAGATGAATAAAGATTAAAATCTTAACAAAAACCAAAATCAATTTAAATTATGAAAATAAAATTTCAACCCAACACATAAATAGTACCTGGTAAAACTACTAAGTCCCATTTTTATTAAAAATAAAGGTTTAGTATCTCTTCTCATCAGCGATGCAACAATCCTCTTAATGAGAAAGAGCCCTTTCAAGATGTTTTTACCACCCCTTAGTAATCCAATTGCAGCTTAAAAAACAGATTCTGCATTACTCACATCATCTCTTCCCAACAGCATTGCTGTTCCAAGGCTTCTCATTCAATCTATGAAGTGATTCTACATCATCTTTTCAGGAGCACTCAATTTGGTCATGCTGTTAGTATATTATAGAGAAAACATGGGAGGGCACCACCCTGTCTCTAACCTCTTCTGAGAACAAATATTTCCAACAATCCTTCCTGTATACCTCAATGTATAGTCTACAACTGTCATTGTCAGTTTTGTGAGATGAATAAGCTTTGAATTTTTTTTTTCTCCATAGTCTAGTATACCACCGATCTATGGAAATATCAACTATAGAAACGGACGGATATGTCTGTATCAGATTTCCTCATTCTTTTTTAAGATTAATCTTTGAGAAAAAAATTATCAGAAGGGTATTTCCTCACCAAAAAGCTACACTAAATAAAGATCAAGCTCTCATTCTTCGTAGAATCCAGGCCCAGAAAAAAGTTAAAGCAGAATTCCACTGAGGCAACACTGAATAACATGTTGCTTGATACTTGTTTCCTAGTGTTGCCTATTGTAGTCGTCCGACTATGTGGCACAAAATTCAGTTAATGTCGAATGTAGAATTTGTTGCCCCACATCGCATGCGCTTTGTCGTACACTTGTGTAGCATGTGACTAAAGCGATTCCATTCAGGCAACTTCAGTTTGGTACATCTTATCATTAAAAATAGTCGCGGCAGCTGCATATTCGGTAATCGCTTTAAATCATAAAAGGAAAACAAAAACACCATGATATTGGACAAGAGAGTTATAACTTGATGGTCAAGAAATTCGGTATAATTTAATACTTTATGTTTAAAGAGTAGTGGAAAATTCATTCTGGCCCGAGAGTGTGAGAAAAAATTGACATTATTTGATTCAAACTTAAAAGAATTTTTAAAAAATCTTTATAATATTTATATATAAAAAATGAGTCTGCCTTGCTACCTGTAAAAATTATTACTTGGTGATGTAAAGAATATTAGACCAGTAACTTGAGGATCAAAATGGAAAATTCATTGCATAAAATGTGGGAAAAGTTTTTATTTATTAAATTGTATATAAGGATTTAGAGATGTAAAAAATTTTGAAAAGAAATAGCTAATCCCGATTCGAGAAATATAATTGATCTATATTAAAACTGTCAGTACTCAGTGGATGTGGAATTTGATGCTCTATTACTTTTGTTCTATGAATTTTCTCTTAGAGAACTCATTCCCAAGCTGCAGCGCCATTTATAGTAATTTGTCTGTTTTTCACGAATTCAGCAAAAATTGGCATTCGTTGACAGTGTTTAACAATAATACCACTTTGTTGCACCGTTTAGGGATTATAGGTGAAAAAACAAAATAATCTGGCTTTTTTGGGTATAAAAAGTTTTTCCTTGGTGGCCCACGTCAGCAATTTCGTTTCTACATGTCTCAACCAATATATACAAGTTAAAAAAAATAAAAACTTTTCTCACATTTTTCACAATGAATTTCTCGTTTCGATCCTCAAGTTGATGGCCAAATATTTATGAAGTCAGTCTCCATTTTTGCTGGAAGTAAGATCCGAGGGGCAAACTCTCGTTTTTTAAAAATAAAGATGTTATAAATATTTGAAAAATGCAATTAAAATTGTCATCAAATAATATAGATTTTTTTCTGATGGGCTCTTGGACTATTTTGGTTGCTAGCAAGTGGATTTCGTGTCATCACTGATCTTCATCATCGTGTAATCACCTAAACACTCAGCAGTTGATAATATTGATTTGGGTACATCGACATCCAATAAAAAATTCAGTAGCTCATAAGCAAACCATTTCCCGTTTTTCAAGGAGATAAGCCATTCTTTTCTTGCTGAAGTTTTTCGCGATGAAATGCTGACAAATTCTTAATTAATTTTTACCTCTACCACCGTACAATTATATTTCTCTATTTAAATAAATTAACCATTAATAAATAGACCAATTATTTTTACTTGCATCACCAAACCTAAATAATTATATTTATCCAATAATTTTTTCAACTTATCGTTTTTAATTCTTATATCTTTGTATTTGGCGCACCGATCTGAGGGCTGTTGGATAGACGGCAACATTGTTCGACACGTTAAATCATCTGGAGAGATGACGCATTCGACAGGCGACAACGGTCAACTTGTAGCATGCGGCAAGAGACATATTTTTTGTCCCTTTGAGTTCTTTCTATGAAAATACTGTGTGTAGCATGCGTCAATGCCTTGCTTCAGTGGAATTCCGACTTTATTTAACTGGATTCTGTAAGTGTAGAGAAACAGAGAAATACATCTATAGTTATCACACTTAATTTGCTTCCTTTCTCATGTATAGGGCAGATGATAGCATGCGTCAATTTAAGCTCTAGGTACTTCCTTTATCCATATAGTTTCCCACTGAACTCAAAGAGCTCTGATAGCAAATCATCATAGGCATGTGTCTTATTAATTTAAGCTTTGATATTACTTTGGTTATTTCTTCATTGTCACAACGCTATTTCATATTCGCTATTCATATAGTTTATTCTCTATAAAAAAAAAAGGCTTTGATTGGATTGAATGGAATGCATCATTTTTACGTTATCACTTTGATATGACCAGCTATAATAACCTGAAATGTTCAAAAAGGTTGAAATTTTGTTTTACCTTCTGAAAAATGATGTCAGTATCACTGTTATGGGTTACCAAAATTAAAATCTGTTTGAATATATAAAGGAAAAAGAGAAGAAAATATGGCATTAAAAAAAAAAGATACTAGAAAGTAGGAAAATAAATTATAGCTGTTTATAAATTAATCGAAACTGAAAGAACAGAGACATGGACCATGCTAGAGGCCTCAAACTACAAGAGGTTGAAAAAGTGCATGTTCTGGATGGGGATATAGTTACTGAAAGGATTAAAAGAAGAAAGATCTCATCTATAGGAAGCTTAACTTAAATTATGTTCTAAAATGCGGAGGACCATTAAGAACTGAACTATTACAACTTATTCAGAAAATATAAAAGAAAAAAAACAAAAGAAGCTAGGACTACTGGCTTGCTCTATTTTACTCTTAAGAAGGCTATCATTCTTGAAAAAATAACAAAGGACTATCAAGCTATGTCCAGAAAAGTGAAAAGGAAACTGGATCAGAACGCTCTGTTTGTATATTTCAAAGTGCCTTATGACTTTGCAATGACTATGAACTGGACATCCCAAAAAAAATCTCCAGAAAGTTTATTGGGGGAAAAGAGTGCCTTGGTAAGCCAGGTTTGATGAACAGCTGTGAAACCTAGGCTTTTACAGACACCCTAAAGTCTTTTTATGATAACCAAGGTGTTTTGAGCACATGGTCTTAGCAAAGGAGAACCAGACTACTACCAAAGAATACCTGCACCCACTGTATGAATATAGTGCAGATCAAGAAATATCAAATAGTTTTTTCCACACACACACACACACACACACATATGTGTGTGTGTGTGTGTGATTTATAATTTCTATATATATAAATTACTTTTGGGAGCATGTTTTTTCAAAAAATAAACGAATGAATTTTGCCTAAAATATTGATTTAATTAAAATGAAAAAAAACGTATTATAAAGTTAATAATTATTGAATATTATTGTTATTTATTTTTTTAAAACTTTTTTATTGAGAAATATTACAATCTGTCTCAGTATTATTTATTTAAAGATTAATTTTAGAAAATGTACAAAGTTAAATAATTTGTATACTGCTTTACAAAAAGAAAAGTATAGCCGCCAACAAACAATTTTTTTTTTTACTGACAAAAAAAAAAACTTTATTTTGTCTAAATGAAATTCACAAGTAGAAATTATATAAATGTGGACGACAGGTGGTGTAATTTTGTACAATAAATATATTTGAAAATGGCCAAAAAGGACGAAACATTATAATAAAATTTATATGCATATAATAATATTTTAAATGTAAAATAAAAGATTGTGAGAAAATTGTGTTTCATGATTCGGCTGATAAGTCTTATTGTATCTCTATAACATGAATAGAATTATAGCACTATGTATACCACCTATTTAACATCAAAACTCAATGTCACACAAAACAAGTATTTACACTTCGGAGAAAATCCTAGACCCAACAATTACCGATAGACCACCTTTTCCAAAATTTGTCTTCTGATTGATTATTTCAACAATCTCATGAGGAAAATTGTTCATTTGGGAAAAACTCAATATAGGTGATCCTATGTTTCTTTGGCATATAAGTTACCACCAATAAATAAAGGGGAAAAAATCATAAATATGGTATGAAAATATACATTATTAATAGTAGATACCCTGAACAGATTTAATCAGAACAGTAACAGTTGTTTTTAACAAAGTAGGAATACAGATTAATATTTCTAGGACCAAGTACATGGTAAACTTAAAATATAGACATAGAAATAACTACTTGGATGCGGTAAGATACTGTTTTGGTTATATTTAAATGGCTAATTTTAAATATCTAGGAAACACAATCTCAGAAACTAATAAAGCAAAATAAATCAAAGTTAAAATACAGACAGAAGTATGAGTCATTGAAAGATAACTTAAATGAAAAAAAGCTTAAAACTTAAAGGTGCAACTGTAAAAAATGTATTGTATTATATGAAATTGTGCGAAAGATTCTGTCTAGAATAGATGACCAGACTCAAGAGGAAGTTCAAAGGAGGATGAAAACACATAGAGGGTTAATGGACTTAAATAATTCACTCAATGCAGTGTCCATAATAAGATGATTGAATTATATGTTGAGAATGAAAGTGATCAAAATCCCCAAGATGATGAGAGTGGGGCATTTAAGAGAAAAAAGAAAGAGGGAAAGACTGGTTACAATAAAACAGAATGTAAGGAAATGAACCTAAAGACTCTTGGCATTGGAAAATATATAAAATGGAGGGTGACCAATGACAGGATGAAGTACAGAAGGATTATACAAGAGACCAGGGTTATGATTATAAAGGAGACCTTCGTGGACCATATCACAGTTGAGAGGGAAAGAGCATGTGTTATACAGTTTTGTCTGCTTGGTATTTTTTGACAAGCAGATGTCATTTTGGGATATTTAACTCAAAATCTGATTTGTGGCTTAATTCATAATCATATAATATTTGGTTTTATATAATATTTCCATATAGATTAAAGAAAAAATTGATTCTGGGAAACTTGATAATACAAATGCCATACTGAAAAGGTTTAAGTCAAAAATTAAAATTTTTAGCATAGCACTTAAACAAATAAAGCTCGACAAAAAAAAAAAAAAAAAAAAAAATGGCATCTTTATGACATCAAAACATTGCAACAAATGGTGAGATTAATGCATTATCTGCCTTCCAACAAGATAACTCGTAGTTAGTACTCTTGCCTAGGAAGCTAACTATGTGTTGTTGGCTTAGATGGCATATTTTTGAAGCTATCATGAAATGTATAGTGTATTTTGATGATTACTATATATTAAAACTACTGTTTTTAATAATAATATATGATTAAATTGGCTTTTTATACTGGACTTCTGAAACATATCATGGGCAGCCATTGTATTTAAAAACTACAATGAATTTATTTCCTCACAAATTATTAAAATAACTTACCATATACATTGCAGTGGCTACTGGCAAATGGAAAGTGTAGTACGATGTTTTATATTTTGTGATAAAGTTATACCTATCCATTGTTAAGTGAGTGATGTTAGGAAATGAAGAAACATGATCTAATGTTTGTCCATAGGTAGTACGCCTTACAGCCTGAAAGATGTAAAAACTAATTAATAAACATAAATCATATTATATAACAATCAATGAACTTCTTCTTTAAATATGATAAATATTGGATTTAATAAATGAATATATATTGATTAATATAAACTGTTTATTGTATGGAAAGATAATTACGATTTTTCTATGGTAATAAGTGAATATTCAGCAGTCTATTTGCAATATTTTGGTGTCTTAATACCCAAGGCTGGGTATTACTGCCGGGCTGGTGCGTATACACAAGCGCGATAATACATCGTGAATAAAGCTAAATATATAAATAATATACAATTAAATACATTTATGGGACAATTTTTTCTTGGCCTTTCACAAAAAAAAATAAATAAACATTTTATTATTAACATTTTAAAGGAGTAAAACGGTGAGAAAAAAATAAATGAAAGAAAAAAAGAAAGGAAAATAAAATGCACAGATTCAGGCGTTAACAGTACCAGTAACTTATTTTTCCGTATAGTCGCTTTCCCATTCTATGCAGCTGTGTCAAAAGCATTGTACCGCCCTCCTAATAGAACCCTCCATCCATCAAAATGATCCTTTTTCGGTTGCAAAATTCGGAAACCATGAGGTTTTTTGCAAAAAAATGGGGTTCTGACTTTTATGGCAGATGGAGAACCAGTATGATGGCACTGCGATGACAGTCTTTTGGTCTCAACGGTGTTATGAGCCATCCCTTGTTTCATCACCAATCATATCAGAACACACCTCGCATTTGGCAGGATTTCTTACCGACATATTTCACAGCAATGGAAACCATTTGACAACTTTTGGTACTAATGAGAGTCGCCGTGCTCATTGCTTTAAGGGAATATCCACTACCATTCACTATTACCTATTTTTGAAGAAAAAAAAAACGCACAGTATGAGAACCAAAATGAACATATTTTCTGGATATGCCTTGTATTAATAAAAAAACAAGAAAGAAATTAAATGTAGATAACATTGGAATATTAATATAGTTAGTGATCAGAAGTATGGGCAATGTTCACACTGAAACATAAATACAATGTATGAATATTCTTATTCCTCGTGCACATATTATTCCTGTTTAGGGGAGGCTCCCACAGATGGTGGATAGCAGGATGATCAATATAAATTCCGTGGAAGTTCTTCCTAGCTAAGTCCAATGGACTAGTTGACCATCAATCATAGCGCCCCTTGATGATAGTGACTTTAGATTGAACATCTTACTCATACATCTTTAGTTCACAAAATACTAAATACAGTCATGGATAAAACACTCATTATCTGGAGGTAAACTAGTCCCCAGTTCAGCTCAGATGGAGATTGCTATAGGGGGAGGATTCATGACAAGTTGAAAATTAGCAATTTAAGTATAGGGATATGGAACTTAAAAAGTTTGAATGCAGCAGGTACGTTAAAGTTGGTCTCTAATGAGGAGGGGAGGGATAGAATTTAGATATTGTGGTACTGCTTACAGTGGCAGAGCCTCTTAAGGTTCCCTAGCCAGAGGAGGGCTCTATAAGGTAAGCACACTACTTGGTACGAAGGAAACAGAAATCATTGTTTAGGTACTGGGTTTTTAGGACTGGGGTACTAGGACTTGATTACTATTCGCTATGAAGGACAAACAATTCTTTAGTGATAGAATTTCCACAGCCAAATTCCAGGGGCGTTGGTTTAAAATCGCATTGATAAACACACAATGTTTTACCTGAAGACAGTGATGATGAAGTTAAATTCAAGTTTTATGGTAAATTAGAGTGGCTTTCTGATAAAATACTGCGAAACTGCATTGAAATAATTCCAGAAGACAGGGAACAAAATGGTTGAAAGGGAAGATGTTTATTTTCCAATGATCAGTAAATAAAATTTGCATGACTATAGTAATGATAATGGAATCCACCAAATAAACTTTGTTATTTCAAAAAACCTAATAAATAAAAGTACTACATTTAAACATATGGATATTCATAAATATACTTGGACATCACCAGATTTGCAAACATAAAATCAAATCGATAGTGTATAGATACTACATAGGTGGTGAAATAGAACAATTGATTAAAGATATTATCACAGGGCAGACTTTGATATCACATCATGAATTAGTAATCTCAAAACTTCGACAAAAACTTGTAAAAAAGAGAAAACAAAACAAAAATTTTGATTTGTAAAAATTAAAAAATTGTTAATTAGAAATCAATTTAAGCTAGAAGTTGAGAATGGATTGGAAATAGGGATTAAATTGCTCAAAAATAAAAGAGAGTACCTTAAAAATAAAATAACAGAAATAGAAACTAATAGAATAAAAAATAATGTAGGAGACAAGTACAAAGTTAAAAATAAATCATGTAAATGTTTGAACAACTGGAGTTAGGGATGAAAATACCAATATGCTGACTGATTTAGTAGACATATTAAGAAAGTTTAAGAGACATTTTGAAAATATTTTAAATTTGGGTAATAATGAGTGTCCAAGGACCGATTGTTTATAATAACTACTGAGGAATCTCTCTTCTTTAAGTATGTTTAAAAATATTCACATTAATTCTAACTAGTAAAATCACAGAATACACTGAGGAAATTGTCAAAGACTATTAACGTGGATTTAGATAGAGACACTTAACTATTGATAAAATATTCTCTTCATGGAAAATATTCCAGAAAAAAAAATAGAGTACAACCATGTGGTTCACCAGCTTTATATCAAATTCAAAAGACTTATGACTCTATTGACTGACAGAAGCTGTATAATATTTTAAGTAAGTTGGGAATTCCAAAAACAAGTGTATCTAGTAAGGATGTACATGACAGAAGCATTCAATTAAGATAAAATCAGCAATTCTATGGCTGATGCATCTTGTCCCAAAACTTAAAAATTAGAACTTACAAAACCATTATCCTTACAATTCTTTACAGAAGGTAAAACGTGGGCACTTGCATTGAGGGACGTCTTACAGTCTTAAAAAATAAAGCATTGCACAGAATATTCGGACTGAAGAAAGATGGATCAACTAGAGAATTAAGGATACACAACACTGAATTTCATGAACTGTGTTACCGGGTTAATATAATTGAGGTGATTATATTGTGAAAAATAAAATGGGCAGTAAAATTGTTGGGCTTAGTAACAAAAGAATCCCTAAAAAGTTAATATGCACTGTGCCAATTAGTAAGCGCCTGAGGAGTACATCTAAGTGAAGGTGAGAGGATTGGGTTAAGGCTGATCTGGCAGAGTTGGGTATGGATGAGAGTATATAGAAAGTGATAGGTATCAGCATTGAAACTTTAGGTTTGCTAAGCCTTTTTATCATTATATTTATATTATTATGAATATTCTTGTTTTTCTATAATATGAAGAGTGATATAGAAAAAATTATATTCACTTATCTGTATAATTAATGTAATCCCAGAGAGAATTAATAAATTAATCACCAACTGAATTTATCATTTATCAACTTCAGAAACTGAGCAATCCAAAACAAATTTAATTTCTGTCTAATTTTTATTTTAATATAAAAAAAGTAACGGTAACAGTAAAATAGTTACGTAACTACTAATCAAACAAATATTTTTTGAACTTACATCAGAACCTCTTCTTTGATTTTTAGAGAAAAAGATTCTATTAAACCTTATTCAAGATTTAATTTTGATAAAGTCCAAGAGTTAAGTTATTCATATTCTTTTTTTTTTTTTTTTATTGAAATTTACAACTGTATTAAATGATAAATACAATAAGTAAATATGAAACAAGTAACATGACATGTACAACATGAAGATAAACTACCCATGCTCCGATATTTTTAAATATAAAATATAATGTATATTTATTTACACAACACAATCTGGTGCGTGCAACACACAACTTTCACTTAACGCTCAACTTTGAATAGAAATTATTTTCTAGCCAGTGCTAAAAAATTTTGGATTGCCTTTTTTAATCAAACTAAAGCTAAAAGCTTACAGCTAACAAATCATAAATACCATTAAAATAACAAAAGTCCTATTTATTATATCACCGGTTGATTATGAGTTGTACGATCTGTCGATTATGAATTGTACGACTATTAGTTATTAAACTGTTATTTTCCATTGCAAAGTTTACTAAAATGGAATTAAGAGATTTGCATTGTCTGTCATAGACAGGTCAAAAGTTGTCACACTAATTGAAGTGGATACTGTTGGAATATCACAAAGGAAAATTCATCAAATTATTCACTAATTTAATTTTCTAAAAGGTTACATGATGATTTTTCGGAATAAATGGACGATAGATACCTAATTATTTAAATATAATATCTGATCTATAGTTGTTAAACTACAGAATATACACTGACAGGCAAAAAATTCCACCCACTTGATTTTTCCATGTTTTCGTCTAAAAATATTTCTGTAAAGTTGTATTTGTATATAATACATGGTATTTGTAAACAATACTTAGTATTTATGGAGTTTTATAATCTTTTTTACCTTTAATAATCAAAATGTGATTGGGTAAGAAAGATTAGAGAAAAAAAAATTGAAAAACGAACCATTATTATTCTAAAAGAAATTAATTACATCATCGTTTAGTAGCGCGTGTTTCCTCCTCTTGCCTTCACTACTTCTTGAAGACGCCTCGGCATACTTTCCACCAGTCGGGAAATGTCCCTTTGCTGGAGGATAGCCCATTCCTCCCGAAGAGCCCTTTCAAAGTCCTGCAGTGTATCAGGAAGTGTTGCACGCGCTCTTATTCGTCTTCCGAGGTTATCCCATAAATGCTCAATGGGGTTCAAATCTGGAGAACGTGCTGGCCAGGCTAAAACCTCAATATTGTTCTGTTGAAGGAACGTCTGCACTATGCGGGCGACATGTGGGCGCATTCGTGCATTAGAATAGAACGATCGCCGATTTCGTTGAGGATAGGCAACACATGAGGTTCCAAAATCTCATCTACATAGCGAATGGCCGTCAAAGACCCTCCACGAACAACAACCAATTCTGTGCGGCGCTCCATTGAAATCCCAGCCCACACCATTAAGGAACCACGTTGGAAAGGTTGGCTCTGGGAAAAATTACAGGCTGCATATCTTTCGTTTCTTCTTCTCCACACCCTTTCACGCCCGTCTGGAGATCGAAGAGCGAATCTTGACTCATCTGTAAAAAGTACAGCACTCCATTCGTCCATAGTCCAATGGCTGTGTTCTCGAGCAAAAGCCAGCCGTGTTACTCTGTGAGTTCTGGTCAACTCTGGTCCTCTTACTGGACGAAAAGCCATTAATCCATACTCATTTAATCTTCTCCGAGCGGTACGTTCAGAAATTTGCACACCTCGAACTTCTTCGAGCTGATGAATCGCTTGAACAACGGTAAGGTGCCGGTTTCGTAAAATTCTCAAAGTCAAAAACCGGTCATCCCGTGGTTCTGTTACCCTAGGCCGTCCAGAACCGGGCCTTCTATTGTAAGAACCAGTTTCCCGAAAACGCCTGACGGCGTCTCGTAAAGTTTCATATGGAACTCCGATGGCATTAGCTGCATATCTAATGGAACGTCCATCATCAATAAGTGCCACACCACGCGCAACATCCTCAGCACTAAGAGGCATTTTTAAACTTAATATTGAAAAAATTAAAAGCCGGAGACTAAGAAATGTGCTGCAAGAAACGGCACTGAACTAATGATACTGAATAAACATTTTGATTCCATAGAAAGTAAACATTGGAATCTAGAATCATTTCATTGAATTAAGGATTAAGGGTTATTGTCCTCTATATTAACATTCCTAATTGAAAACAAACAAAAAGATTACCTATTTATTCATTAAAAACAATAGACCAATCCAAAGCAGAAATATTTTTAGATGAAAACATGAAAAAATCAAGTGGGTGGAATTTTTTGCCTGTCAGTTTATATTTAAGGTTATAAACATATCCATGAAATATTTTTATATTTCACGTCTTTCACACAAGTACAATGAAATAGTATCTTAAAGATTGTCATTGCCTTGAATCCGTGGATTTCAAGTACTTTTTCAAACTAAAAAAATTGTTGAAAGAATACATTTAGTATGAAAAATTCATTTAATTTCCTTGAAAACATGTGATTCATGTTAAATAATGTTAGTTTTAAGAAATTAATATTATGTTTTTTTCTACAATTTTCTATATTAGATATTGTTTTGTTTTTTAATTCCCTGCTTTCCAACGATATATATACGTATACCTTCTGACTATTATTTCCAGATATTCATTTTCAGCCTGGATAAGTATTTTTCTTTTTTTATCATTTATTCAATTATCAAATTGTTTCAAAAGTTATATTTAGCATTTTTTCATAACTCCAAACAATGAGAAATAGTTATTATTTATAATAAACTGAATTAAAGGTACTTTAGAGGAAGACATGATAATGTTGAGATTTCACAAAGCGAAAATTCATCAAATTATTTAATAGTTCAATTTTCAACAATGATATATGATGTTGATACTTAATTATTTAAATTTAATATCAGATCTAGTTATTGAACTACAGTAAATGTATTTTAGGTTATAAACATATACTTTGTACATCCATGAAATGATTTTATACTTTACTTCTTCTTTCACAAAAAAACAATGAAATAGGTTTTTAAACAATGACATTGCCTTGATCAGGTGGATTTTAAATACTTTTTCAAACTAACAAATATTTTAAAAGTTTACATTTAGTTAGTAAATTTCATTTAATTTCCTTGAAAATATATGATTAACATTAAATATTAGTTTTCAAAAATTATCATTTATAATTTTTTCACCCACTCTGCGTTACCTTCTACAACTTTCTATATTAGATAGGTTTTTTTCTAAAATTCTCTGCTTTCCAACGATATATTATTCTTATACCTTCTGACTAGTATTTCCGGAGATTCATTTTCGACCTGGATAAGCATTTTTATTTTGATCTCTTTTATTCTATTAACGAATTCTTTCAAAAGTTATATTTAGCATTTTTTCGTAACTCTTAAAAATGTGAGATGATTAATTATTTAAAATAAACCATATTAAAGGTACTTTAGAGGAAGAAATCTATGAACATTGGGCATTTTAGCCCTGTAAAGTGACATCAATGGAGATAAGACCTGATTGATATTAAAGACCACTTAATTATACAATGATACACAGAGTTTAATCAAAATTGTTAGAGCCTTTTTTGAGAAAATTATAAAAATGTGTTTCAGCGTTGATGAAGTGGCACTTCCGGTTAGCCGATTTTAGGGAAAAAGTTTCAGTAACATCTAAGGAATATACCTATCTTAAATACGTAATATCAGTTTCGTACGACTTTTTGTTTTTGAGCTAGATTGCTAACATACAGACACACAGACCATTTTGCGGGACTTGGTTATTTGGACTCAGGGTACCCCAAAACGTGTATTTCCGTTGAAAACTCAGATTCAAACATTTTCACGATCGGAATACTTTTCCTTACTATATATTACATATATATGTAAGTGAAAGTAAAAAATGTACTTACATCCAAAAATAACTCAACAAGATCAATATAGAACTCTCTATCTTTGCAATGTTGTTGAAGCAGTTGAAAAGTTCCTGACTGTATAAGAAGAGCATCAGAACCAGCACGAAGTCCAACATCAGGATTTCTATACCAACAGGGTCTTCCCCTTCTAGTTATAGACTGATCAGCAAGATCATCAATAACTAAGAAAAATCCTTGGAGCTGAAATTGAAAATAATGGGTGATAAAAATATACACAAACATATTAATTCCTAACAGTTTTTAAAAATAAGATCTAAATGTGATAAAAAAGATTTCATTTCACCTCTCTTGGAATAAAGATATCTCTCAGATTACCTGAAAATCCATAACTGTCCTTAAACAACTCCTAAGATTCCATGATTCTATAATTTAAAAAAACTGAACAGCTCCTTGTAACCTCACTCATTTTTACCCACTTTTACTATGATTTATTTGTGAATGGAGGGCTGTTTGCAAGACTGGAGATCAGATTGAAGAGACTCATGAATTATTTCATAAGATTCATCTATGGGATTCTCAGGCATACATATTTTCTGCTAGCACACTGAGTTGAAGAGGCTCTATCCTACTTCCTGACAGCAACATCTTCCTGGTGTTTTCCTTTTCCAAGTCATCAGAACCAAAAATCATCCCTACATCCTAAAATTACTTACTTTACATTCCTCTATCCACTCTCTTAATACCAGATCTCAACCTATTTATTTATATATCCTCTTCCATGAAACTACTTCCTTTGGCAAATCCTGTGTAATTCATGCTACTGCCTTTTGATACTCTTTAACCCTTTCACTGCAGACGGGATACATGCCTTCCCATTAAGAATTGGGTCACTGGTGGGGACATGATATATGCCTTCCTGTCTGGGTGGTCGCCACTCAAACAGGCAGGGGCAAGTCCTGCCTTCACCATTTGACTTTTGGCTTGGTCAATGCATTCATTAGTCCTATGTAGCTGACTCAGTGTGGTCATTCCGGGTTCTGACCATTTGGAAGCTATCAGTTGCAGATTTAATCTGAACCCAAAATATGTCCTTTCTCTGTTATTTGTATCATATACATCATCTTATTTCTATTCTATTTAAATGTTTTAATGTTTTATACATCAAATAAATGTTAATAAATTAATTTTATAATTTTTTTTTTTTAATTTTGGTTTTGACTGAATGCTGATTCTAGTACCAGTGAATCTCTTTCTACTAAACAAATAAATGCAAGTTTCCTACATTATATATATATATATATATATATATATATATATATATATATATATATATATATATATATAATGTAGTGTTTAAAACTCAAAATAAATGTAAGTGCAATAATAAAATTTGTAAATACAAAGAAATATATAACTTAAATTCCCCTGTTGGTATCCTTTTTTTTAGAAAAAATATAATTTAATTTGTTTGATCACTTACAATTATTTTTATGATAATTGTCAGTTATTTTGTTTGTCAGAGATGAGCAAATACTATGCAAGAAAGCGATGTGTTGTGGGATTGCCACTCTAATTCTGCATTACTATGTGTGGTTGGGAAGGCATATTTCCCGTTTATTGAAAGTTAAATAAAGAGATTAAAATGTATTTTTGAAAGCTAAGATCTTGCATAGTGGCTCAAAATAGCATTTTAAACAAATTTATGATAACAAAAAATCCGTTTTTTTGGATTTCAGGATGCACCATCTGGTAGAAACACATAAATGAGCTCCTACAGTCAAAGGGTTTTAACTATCTCCATATGTCAATCCTTGTCTACAAATTACTTCAAACAACTATTCCACTACCTAAATTATGTTCAAACTTCCGCATCCATGTAAGAATTATTAGAGTCTGTAATTACGATTACTCATTAACAATTAATTGACAAACTTTATTTGATGATTTCTATTTCTAAATGTAGACCATGTGAAATTTACTTATTACTGTTTACTGTATAATTATAATTACAGTTAACAGTTAATTGACAAACACCTTTTTGGATTTTTTCAAGCTAGACTAATGGGCATAGGTTCTGAACTCTTATTATTCTTAAGGGACTTCAGTCCCAGAATAAAATCATTGTTTTCATTTCATTTCATAATAATCATCAAAACAAGATTTATCAATCACTGTTTAACAAACAGTAAAAACCCTTTTCCATTAGTAAAAATGTAAATCAAAAACTTTAACATGGTTAATTTATCAAAAAAAACTTCATCGTTCAAAAGTACTTAGATCAAAAAGTTTGTAACACTTCTAACATTGACTAGATACAATCAAAGAAAAATAATGATATATAATCAAAAAACTAACAATATTCTAGATTAAGAACTGGATCAAAAAGTTTACTTATGTTAAAACGTCTTTGGACAATATCTGAATAATTATTTTACTCTAAATTATTTAATAGCCTCTACAGTTTTAATAAAACCTTTGAGGATAGACGTAATACAATTTTGTTTTCAAAAACTTTTTGAAATGTTAATATTAAATACCTTGCTTTTATCAGATTCTTAAATTTTCGAACAGTGGGCTTTCGGGCTGAAGCCCTATGAAAAAATATATTTTCAAGTAATATATTTACGATATATAAAGACTCTCAAATTATTCTGATGTACTATTAAGACATTTTACAAATACATATTCTAAACAACTATATTACACTATGTAATTAAATGTAAATTTATAATGTACTTAAATATAGTTAGCTAAAACTCCTGTTTGGATTAACACATTTTTCTTTTGATATTAGATAAATAAGATGTTTAATATTAGGATCAAACAGTGCTAAAATAAATAATGCTACTGAAATGTAACTATAAAAATTAACTTATTCCAAGTTAATTAGATATCAGACAAATGTCAGGAGACAGTTTTACAAAAAACAGTAATAAAAGTTTATAAATCATGAATTTATGCAAGAATCCAACTGAATGTTTATAAACTTTAACCAAAGATAACTATGAAGAAAACTTAATAAATTTTCATGTATGACTTAATTCTTAATTATCAAAGTCAGCAGAAAATTACTTTCATTTCTATATTAACTCCACTAAGTCCATTGTTTGAGAGATTAATATAGGTATGATTTTGCACTAATGGCTAAAGTTTAAAAAAAAATAATAATAAATTAAATTTGTGTCTACTCAATCTATTTTTCAAATAAATATTTTTAGAGAGAAATACTTTATTAACATTTTAAATAGCGCTCTTGAAAGAATTCATATTTTTGGTACCACAGTGAATGTATTAAACTTTATCAACATTGAAAATGATACTAAGATATAAAATAGTTTACAACGTATGAGGCACATAAAGCATCATAAACACAATTCATATATTCTAAAAAACAAAAATTTAACAATGTTAACTAACAGAAGTTTCTTATCATATTTTTTCTTGACTTTTGTCAAGATTTGATTGCTATCTTTGCCTTTATTGCCATAAATGTCAATAAATATTTTATTAAAAACATTTTTCTTACTTCAATTTTGCCAAGACAATATGAAAAAAACTGTTATTAATGTAAAACATTGAAAATAACTTTAAATAATAAGATTAAATGACAATAAACATGATTAATTTATTTGTGATTGGATTTTGAAGGTGAAAAGAAATCACCATATAGCAAAAGAAAACAGTATACCTTACCATTTCAACGCACCACCCTAAAATCTGGGCCAGCCTGATGTTTTCTGGTGTTAAAGCATGGTCAGGAGCAAGCATGCGATAACTATAAACAACAGTCAGCCCTCTTACTTTCTTTCCTCCTGATACATTATATTGCATAATCTGTAAACCAAAAGTAAAATAAATAAAATAATAATTTAACAAATAACAAAACATTTTTATAATCTTCATAAACGTTCATAAGAGTAACAAGTATTTAAGCATTTCTAAGAAAAGTATTTTTCGATCGAGAGACTGGAATCTCCCTTTAGTCTTTCCATCTTAAATCCACTATTCCTCTTATATTTCACTCCTAAACTATGTTTAACACTGTATATGTATTATGATGAACAAACAGAAACACCTTTTTTCTCTGCCTCGGACAGCAAAATTAAATGCATTGTCTAGAATCAATAAAAGATTTTCTTAAAAGCAAATCACAGGTCAACTAGCATAAGTTAAGTGCAGTCACTGTTAGCAACTAGAAGTGGAATCTTGAAAGCTTTAATCAAGTACACTTCTGAATATTGAGGAATTCTGTGACAACAGTTTTTGAATTAGTAAAACAAAATAAGTCAATAGTGAAACATGGCGAATGAATTAAAGATAACGCCCAAAAATCAGCCATGCAGAAGAGTTTCATCGATTTGAAAATATATTGGAGCACATGGAGCATCAAGATAAAATCACGCTCTCAGCCATTCTTTTTATTTTAGAGAAATAGAGCATGTGCAATAACAAAAGAGAGGCATAGCAAAACAAGAAAAATATAGAGGATTATTTTCACATATATGGTTCAAATCCATCTATGTATTTAATAAAATAGATATAAAATTATGTATGTAAACACAAAATAGATGTAAATGTAATTTAATTCAAAGTTTTAATTCATTTTCTAAACAATGATTATTGCAAGAGAACAGGATGGCCAAGTATGTTAATCGATGGCGTGAGTTCTTGAATGACCGATTCTGAACATTGTGGGTTCAATTCCCACCTGGGTTGGTTAAGAATGTAGCAATTATTATTTTGGGAACAATAAATCATAGCACTATCTGGGACATGCTAAAGAACTATTCTCAGACTACCATACTATACGTTGCAAAATTTGGCTAAAACTCTATTTCCTCCTTTTTTGCTTAGATGCCATTCCTGAGAATTCTTCAGAAGCAGTATCAGATGAGGAATGAGAAAAATTTGATCAAGATGTTGCATCAATTAAGAAAATCTGTACAGGAAAATGGAGCTCAAACATGTTGGCTGACAACTGTTGGAAGGAAATACAAGAAAGCCTGGTGGGGTTCTTAAGATGAAGATCACAAGTAATTATTTGAAAATTTATTTTATATGAGTATATAGTTCTTTTGCTTATTATTATCTTAGCATAAGAACTAGTCTCTGTCCAATGATTTCACCAGTGCATAATTTAAATTATAAATGATTGTTTCATCCATATGATAAATAAATGACCAAGTGCATCTGTTTAATTGAATAATATCCAAAATTTATAAGGAAGAACAAAAGGACTAACTACCAATCACTACAAAAGGCCTCACCAAAGGTGGATTATATTAAATAAAATTAAGAAAAAGGTTATATACTAAAAATAATGAGTGTATTTATTACCATATAAGAATAATTTAAAAAAAAAAATCATGAATGGAGTTCTAGCATGGAGATCATATTTTGCCCTTATTTTTGTAAACATAATTATTTAATTTATGCTTACCAGAGAAAACTGAATAGAATTTTAAAACCTATTAAACTGCTGAATTTCTCTCTCGGGTTTTTTTTTAAACGTTTTAAAATTTGTTTCAAAATTTAATTTTTTCAAACAAAGATCAGAAGAACACATTCGGAAATTAATATAAAATGTTTATATAGTACTAATGAGCAGTTTATATCAGAATAAATCGTAATATTCAAGAATATGCATATGATACAGCTGTCTTTTGAGGCAATCAATAAGACATTGAGAGACCCGCTGAGAATATGTTAAGAGAAACTGAGAAAATAAGTCAACAAATGAATCAAGATAAAACAAATTATATAATAATAAGCTGAAGAATCTACCTCAACAACAACACCACCATAAAAGGAAAATTGTTCCCAAGAATAGACAGATCCCAATACCCTGTCTCCGAAATAACCTCAATAAATGACCAATGGTCATAATAAATGGACCGTGAATTACAAGTTCAAACAGAGCTTTATTTTTTCTTTCAAAGATATTCAAATCCCCCCAAAAAAACATAGTGAGAACAACGATATGATAAAGCCACTTTTGAAAACCGATTGTGAGACCTGGACACCACCGATCACTTTTTAAACATAAAAAGTAAGGAAAAAGGTAAGGCATGATTTGATAATAGTTGTATGACAATTAAAAATAATATAATATGTGAACTGTTAATGTTATTGATTATTGATGTGTTGTAATTATAGAGACGAATATGGTGCAGAGACACCGAAAGCTTCTCTGGAAATAATAATAAGAGACTGTCATCGATAAAAATCCTGATCTCCAAAAAAATTACCTTAAGATTTGAGGGGAAATTCTTCTGCATGATAATCTAAGAGATCTGGGATCAAGTAGTAATACTTGAAAGAGAAAGACCAATAAAGAACTTATAAATAATAAAGGACAGAAAATGGTCAAGCAACATGATACGAAGGCAAAAGGTCAAGATGGGCAAGGCAAGACATGTAGCTCAAGAAATCTCTATAAGATAATGAATGCCACAAAAATTGGTAAAAGATCACACACAAGACCGAATACAAGATTGATGCTGCAGAGCTACATGTAGTAAACTTGAAAGTGACAGCCCAAGAAAGACAGGGAACTATTATAGAGGAGAATACGATGTTATAAAAGAAAATAATCAACCAGGAAGAAGTAAAAATAAATCACAACATGAAATCCAAAAAACTAAAACAGAAATACTCTATCTTCTATATCTGAGTCTCTGTTAGTTCCCCATGTTCGTACATAAGAATAATTATATGGAAAACAATGATAAATTTTGATGACTATAATTTCAGGAGCAGAAAAAAGAAAAAAAACTGTTCTAAATTTTAAAATGGATAAATGGTCATCAATAAAATTATTTTTATTTTTAAGAAATGAATAATTTTAATGAGTAGAGTACTTGAATGAATGTGAACAAGTTAATACACTTAATAATAATTATTATAATGTTTTAATAATGACTGACAGAAGATCATTTACAAATCATTTGTCAAGAGCCATTCGATTAAACCAAAGCCAACAATATTAAAAAAGGAAAAAACAGATTGATGTTCATATTAAATTTGCTTTATCAATAAATATTCTACTTATCTATTTTTATTCCATACCTTAATTGCAAAAATATTTTACTACTTAAAAACTATTGCATGAAATTCAATGAATATTGTATTAGACCGAGAAACAAGAAAAAATAATACTGTGAAATGAAATAACAAAGCCTGGCATGAGAATTATAAAAAAACTACCACATAATACAATGGTCATCAATATTAATAAAAGAAGAAAAACTCCTAAAGCTTGAAAGCCAAACAATGATAGATGAAAATTATTTGACGTAAACTATTGTTCAAACGTATTACTTATTAATTTAAAGTGTTTAGTAATCTAAAAAATAAAACTTTTCCTTTTTAGCTTTCAGTGATTAAAACAAAAATGAAGGTATTAAAATCCAGATTTCTGAGATAGATAAATGCTAGAAAAAAATGTAAGTTATAATCTATCAACTGAATATTATATTTAAATGAAATATATCTAGAAAAGAGCAACTAAAAAATAATACCTTAGAAATTAAAGTACTGAGATCTGATATTCCAGGATTCAGTTGTGTCAAATCCCGAACAATGTCTGGAAATACAGCCATAAAATCTCTCTTATCATCTTTTGTTATAGTCTGTGGACGTAGTGCAACTGTGCTAAGCCCTCTAAACACAAAAATATAATAAGAGGAATGTATCTTCTCATTATGACAGAGATATATCAATCCATGCAATGAATTAACAAGATGGAATCAAATTATTTTTTTAATTTTTGCAATACCTGCAGGTAATATGAGGATTGCAGCTATGAAATTTTAAAGAAGAATTGTCTAAGATATTAGATAAATTACTAAAGGGCAATTTTCCGTTCAAATTAGGGTAACATAATTTCATTAAAGGGCTTGAAAGTTTTTTCGCGCACAGTTTTGCAAGTGGCATATTGAAAAAGTAAATTAAAACGTAAGTAAAAGACTAAATATCTGACTTCGATAAGACAGCAACAATACCCGCACTGCTATCAACTCATGTAACAACGAGACTCTGCTAGATTATAAACAGACTAACAGACCCCCACCACCAGATAGCGACAAAGAGCTAACAATATAACAATCCTACTAGCGAATCTCAAGAAATAAGTTGCACATGTAGATAAACCTCAAATCATCTTAAAGGACGGACAAATTGATAAAAGAAAAGTTTGAGTTTATGTACAATACAGTGGAAAATTGAGTTAAAAATTATACTTAATTAGTTTCAATTAAAGAAAAATGTTTATTTACATACAGGTTACCCCGTTAGTAAAGGGGAATTTTTAAATTGGTGACAATAGACTCTAAGAGCTACAAAAAAGTTCACACAAAAAATTCTATGATTTTCTGCAGAAACGTTTGAAATTTAAGTTACGTTATTTGTTGAATAGGAAGGGATAATTAAAAAAATATTTATTTTAGGTAATTAAATATTCTTTCATGGTTAACTAGAAAAAATATAATTAAAATATAAGAAGTTGTATTTGATGGATATGCTTTGACCGGCCCAATCGATGGCGGCGATAAGGTCGAAAGGGGGACCAACAGCCACCATGGAGGAAACGGTTATAAGATACCTAAATCAGACGTAGCCCAGGGATGACCCGCCCCAGGATAACGAGGAAGATAAGGCTCTGCGACAGGCAACAGAATACCCGCCTGGTACCGAGTTTATTCCACCATGGGACGAATGGGACCTGTAGATGGTGATAGAGAGGCAAAGGACAGGAAGAACTCCAGGACTCGGCACCATTGACGCGGCGATCCTAAAGAGGAATGCCACCTACATAGAAGAAGCGATACTGTAAATAATGAACGCTTGTTTGGAAAGTTCCCAACACAATGGAAGATCGCCGACCTCAGACTGCTGTATATGGGGGGGGGGAGGGGTGGAAGGACAAGGAGTTATCAAAGTCATATAGGTCGATATGCCTTCTCCCTGTTTTGAGTAAGGTCCTGGAGCACCAAATAGTGAAGAGTCTGTCGCCAGTTCTGCGGGCAGCGAGTCGCCCGAGGCAGTACGGATCTACGAAAGAGCTCGGCAGAGGACAGGAGCGTGGATGGCAGGACGGAGTGATGTGGCATGATGGTCCTGTTTGACATATCATCCCCCTTTGACAGTGTAAGGTGACCCTGCGTAATCCAGCGTCTCTAGCAGTTTGATACCCCCGCAACTTATGCTCCTTCATTAGGGTGTACCTCAGCAACAGGAAGTCAAGATAAGGGATACCTTATATGAAGTCGAGCAAGAAACTGGAAGAGGATGCCCGCAGGGATCAGTTCTGGAACCGACCCTGTGGAAGTTGGTATTCTCCCAATTGTTGGGGGAACTGGAGATAGCGGGCTTCGGTGCCGTAGCATACGTGAATGACCTGACCGTTGTTGTGGCAGCGAACAGCAGGGCGAGATAGATTGCGGAAGGAGAGAGGTGCGACACCATATTCGAAGGATGATGTTGAAAGAAGAGAATGAAGATGGCGGCGTCAAAGACTCAGTCCATGTTTTTGAAAGGCTACACAGATAGGGCTGACCCTATCAGCCTCAGAGTCGGAGAGGAGAGAGTCCCCCTGGGTGAGGAGGTTACCTACCTAGGCGTGAGGTTCAAGACGAAGTTCAACGTCTCTCCCCAGATTGAACACCTGCGGAATAGGGTGGCTATGTCACTGAATGGCCTGACAAGGATAGGGGGTGCTTTTTGGAGTCTCAGGTACCCATCCACAAGCGTCTACATGGGAGTCGTGCTGGATATACTGAGTTATGCATCCCCAGCGTGGAGCTGTCGCCCGAATCAGACCCAATAGAGGAAGATAGCCATCATCCAGAGACTCGCACTGCTGAAGACAACAAAGGCTTATAAGACGATGTCCCACGATGCGGTGCATGTGCTGGCCTGAATGATGCCCCTGGAACCAATCCTCAAGGAGGATACAATCAAGTTTCATTTCAAGAGAAAGTGCCTGGAGACGCTACCGGAGGGGATTCGTGAGAGAATCGGTGAGAATCCAAACCATTTGAAAAGGATTATCAGGGAGGAGTCCATTGAAGTGTGGAACAGACGGTGGGTGTCAAGCCCGAAAGGGTCTAGCCTCAGTAAGTTCTTTCCCACCGTCCAGGCAAGTTTAAATGCGACATGGGTACTCCCTGATACTGGGTTTCACAGGACATGGAGGGTTCCGGAGAAAACCGGAGGCCCATGTAAAGAATAAAGACCTTCTCCCGCCCCCGGTGCCCTTCTTGTGGAGTCCCTGACACGGCAACGGAGGGAAAGTGTGCAAAATTGATGAGGGATAGGCAGGTATACCCTGACAGAGAAGGGTTTTCCCCGCCTGGTCGAGAACAAAAACTACCCGTTTCTGCGGAAGATTGTGTATGGCTGGAGGGATGTGACGGGCCCTCTTCATTTTTGCCTGGGAGCGGCAAGAGTTCCACCACTCGAGGAGACGAAAAAGAGGAAGCATGCTGTGCGGATAATGTGCGGCATCACTAAAGTGCACAACCGTGTACCGGGTCGCACCACGGTTAACCCATACTTTATTGTTCCCAAAATTAAAACTACCCAAAATTATTGTAAAATAAATAAATAATAATGATTAATAAAGTGTTGTTTATTGGCAGCAGTGGACATACGAGAACTCCAACGCAATTAACCCATTTCTGCAAAAAAACCGTATGGCAGCAATGCTAGGTAGAGGGTAAAACAAAGTTGTCTTTGATGAAACCATTTAAAGCTACTAAAATATGCCTATATCTGTTTTTTATAAAATCATGGATTATTCTCATTTTTTCGCATCACATTCCAATTACACAACAGATACTTCAATTTTCGAGAAAAAAAATTTAATAAGCTTTAAGTCAATATTAATCAAGTTGAGGTTTTATACATAATGAGTTGAGATTCACCACTAGATGTGTAAACAAATAATGTGAATTGATATTCAGTCATCCCCAGAGTACCTGTGCTTTCAGCGAAGTTGACTACATGGACTTTAGCATGACTACAAGATTACCACAACACTTTAAATTTGTTTTCCTATGGACTGAAATGTATAATAATAATTATAATTTAAAAAATCAACTTTTTTTACATAACAAAATACCATTCGAATATGACATCCTTAATATCATCAACCAATTAGAATGCAACAAGACTCTGAGTGCTGGCGAGTGCTGATGGGCTCCCCGATAACTCATCAGGTGCTGTGGCAGCAGGTGGTGAAATATATGCAAGATCTCTACATCACAGTTTGGACGAATGAACTTCTACCAGACCCATGAACTACGTTGCTAATCTGTCCTACATTTAAGAGGGGCGATCGACTAACGTGCTCCAACTACATAGTCCTCTTAAACATTGTCTTCAAGAGTTGTCTTTAAGCTACCCCATGCGGAGATAATACATGGTCGGCACCAGTGCGGATTCAGAAAGGGCTGGTCTATGACTGATCAAATATTCTGCCTTAGGACTATTCTGGAGCGAGGAAGGGAATTTAAGTTTAATTAACTCACCTAATCTTCATCGATTTTAGCGTGAAAAGGGAAGAATTGTACGAGGCTCTAAAGCACTTTAAGATTCCTAGTAAGCTCTTAAGTCTTGTGAGGCTTACAATGAACAACGTTAGCTGCATTCAAATCGGTGAAGAGCGGTCGGAAGAATTCTCTTGGGGAATAGGATTACGCTAGGGAGACGCCTTAGTATGCCTTCACTTTGAACTTGAGCTCGAGAAATGCTAGCATACAGACCAAAGCCAACACCTTTAATAGATGTGTACAGTTTCTTACGTACGCGGATGATAAAGACATTGTGGGCAAAAATGAAAACAATAAATTATTGCAAAACTTTAATTTATTTTTTTTTGCGATGACTTTGATGTCTATAATAAATATAAATCTATAAAAATACTTTTTATTCTAAAAAAAAAAAATCCTCGCGCGGGCTCATTACCGCGTATGGGGAGCGTCCCACGGGTGGCGGATGTGGGGATGGTCGGTGGAAATTTCTTGGAAGTTCCTCCCGGCTAAGTCCGATGGACTCGCTGACCAACAATGAGAGGGGCCCTCCAGACTTGCTGGAGGGAGGGGACCTCCAGACTTGCTGGAGGTAGGGGCCCACCAGTCTTGCTGGAGGGTGTGACGTAGGATTGAACGCCCTACTCACATATCTTTAGTTCACCAAACACCACAAAAAGTCATGGATCTTCCTAAGGTAAAACGCTCATTATCCGGAAGTAAACTAGTCCCCCGTTCGGGTCTCCGGGTGGGGACTGCTTTAGGGGATTCATGGCGCAAGTTGAAATATAGGGATTTAAATATTGGTACGTGGAACGTAAGGAGTTTAAACACAGCAGGGGGGCTAAAATCGGTCGCGAATGAGGTAAATGGGTACAATTTGGATGTCGTGGCTCTGCAAGAGGTTCGCTGGCCAGGGGAGGGCTCGATGAGGGAAGGGAAGTACACTATTTGGTACGGAGGAAGCGAGAATCATTGTTTAGGTACCGGGTTTCTAATTAGGCGTAGATTACTATCCGCTTTGAGGGACGTACAATTCTTTAGTGATAGAATTTCGGTAGCTACATTTCAGGGACGTTGGTTTAAAATCGCATTAATAAACATACATTGTCCGACCGAAGACAGTGACGATGAAGTCAAAAGTGAATTTTACGATAAACTCGAATGGGTTTATGATAAACTACCACGAAACTACATGAAAATAATTGTAGGTGACGCGAACGCAAAAGTAGGAAGGGAAGAAGTTTATATTCCGACGATTGGTAAAGAAAGTTTGCACGAATATAGTAATGATAATGGGATCCGTCTGATAAACTTTGCCATCTCGAAAAACCTGATAATTAAAAGTACGACATTTAAACATAAGGATATTCATAAATATACTTGGACATCACCGGATTCGCAAACACGAAATCAAATCGATCATGTCTTGATACAACACAGCTGGCAAAGTAGTATAATTAATGTACGGTCTTATCGCGGAGCAGAATGTGGGTCGGATCATGAATTAGTA